ATAGACCCTGTACATAGGGAACACACTGGAGCTTTGTTGAAAAGAGAGTAAGTCATCTGGCCAGGCTTATATGGATCCATTAAGCGCAAACATCAGGCCCTTCTGTTCATTGTGAGCCAAAAAAACAGGTCCTCCCATGACAAAGCAGTTTCAGAGGAACAGTCCCCAACCCCCTCAGATAATCAGGGGTGGTTTGCAGTTGAATTGGGAGGAGGCAGGCTGAATAACAGGAAGTTAATAATTTAAACTGAGACCCAACATAGTATGAACTCTTCACCAGCACTATAGGGAAAAGCCGTCTACTGGAAGCTGTTTTCCTGTAAAAACTTGGATATGTTTGATATGTAGTAACAGAGATTCAAGCACTGAAAGACAGACCCAGTGTGGTAGCATAGCGGCTAATGTCCTCACTTTGCATGTGCTGGATCCCATAGGAACGCCAGTTCTAATCCTGGTGGCCCTGCTTCCCATCCAGCTCCCCGCTTGTATCCTGGGAAAGCAGCCGAGGACAGCCTAAAGCCTTGGGACCCTGCACTGGTGTGGGAAACCTGGAAAAAGCTCTGGATCAGTGCATCTCTGGCCATTGCGGCCGTTTGGGGAGTGAACCATCAGAAAGAAGATCTTTCTCTCTGTCTCTCCTCCTCTCTGTATATCTGCCTTTCCAATAAAAATAAAATAAATCTTTAAAAAAAAGGCACTGAAACGCATGTGAGATCTGGAAGGGTCATGTTTAAAGAGATTCAGGTGAGCATTTATAATAATTACTGACTAGTTGTCACCTTTGTACAGGCACTATGCTAGCCTCTTGGGGCTCAAGAAAAGTGTGGCTGCTGGTTTGTGTCCCGGCTGCTCCACTTCTGATCCAGCTTCCTTGCTGATGGCCTAGGTGCTGGAGAGACCAGAAAGACGCTCTTGTTGCCCAGCTTCAGACCAGCCCAGCCAGCTTAGCTCCTGCTGACGTGGCCATCTGGGAGCGAACCAGTGTAAACAAGATGGCTGGCTGGCTGGCTCTCTCCCTAATTCTGACTTGAGTAAAATAAGTCTTTAGAAAAAGGATTTTTGAGATAAACTGTAAATTCAGAAATGACCAGGATAATTGTCATGAGCAATATACGTATCAATTGCCATTTCAAACTTCACTACAAATATATTTATGAATTATTTTCATTTGAAAGGCAGATTTTACAGAGAGAAGGAGAGATAGAGAAGTTCTATCCATGGGTAGTTCATTCCCTAAATGGCCGCAACAGCCAGAGCTGAGCTGATCTGACGCCAGGAGCCTCATCCAGCTCTCACACATGGGTTCAAGATCCCAAGGTGCTGAATCAGAAGTAGAGCAGCCAGGAAACAAACCAACACCCATATGGATAGGAAGGAGAGGATTAGCCAGTTGAGCCATTGCACTAGGTCCTATTTGGAAGCCTTTAATTTTTTAAAAGAGGCTCTCCAACGGTGCAAAGAAAGTAACCAGTCCGACAGCTTGCTGTGCGCCCTGGGTGCTGTTTGTTCTAAGTGTGTTTCACATTTACCAATTCATTTCACCCTCTCAAGTCATCTAAGTGAGCATTACTGTTACAGCCATCTAACAACTAGGAAAATGGATACAGAGGTTAAGTGCCAGGGTCAAGTGGCAAGAAACAGCCATATTTGAACCCCAAGTACTCAGTGTCAGATCCCTTGGACTGCTGCTGCACTAAAGGGAGCCAGATTTCAATAATCACGCTTTTCACGTTTGTGCCTTTTGTGTGTATTTATGTAAATTCTTCCCTGTGCTCTAACACACTGCCTTTGAAAGATTTTCAAATTTTGCTGTTACATCTGGAATTTAGTTGTCTGTGTGTGATGAATGTATCTGATGTTTTAAATTTTAATTAGTTTATTCAAGAGGCAGAGACTGCACGAGCTCCTATTGTTGGGTTACTCTGAATTGCCCCAGTTACTGCTTCATGCTGAACCTAGGGGTCAGAACTCCACCCCTGCTGCCCCCCGGGCTCTGCACTGACAGGAAACTGGTTATCCAGTGCTGAACCTATAAACCTTCTATAGGTCATGAGTATCTTAACTAGACCAGACTGCCGCATCTTGATTGATTGTTATTATATGTGAACAGCCTAATTGCAAATCAAAGTTACTAAAAAAGAGTAGTATTCCTCAGTTGGTCCATTTAAAGTTCACAACTAAATCAGATCCTTCCAGTGCTACATATCGCGGCCTGAAGCCCAGACGTGCCCGTGCTGACACTCATTCTGCTCTCTCTGATTCCACAGCTCCGCCTGCCTCCTCCTGACTCCATCTCCCTTCTTCCCCAGCCTCCTCTCCTCTCTATCCCAACTTCTCCCATCTTTTCAAGAATACTGCCTGCCTGCCAGAATTGGGAGGCATTGCCAAGTAGTCCAGTGATTTTTGGGGTGCCTCTGTTAAGTAAACCACCTTCCTCCCAGAGCTGTGTGGGTCACTCAGTACTGAAGGCTAAAGACTTGAGTTCTGTCCGCTGTCCCCTCTCAGGCCTGTTGCTGATCCAGAGAACAAGTCATGTGTGGGGACATGACCTGTGGGAAGTAAACAGAAATCAGATACAGAGTCCGCTTCGTCTCTCTGCTACTGTGTAGGGAAATAAAATCACATCTAAAATGTGATCATTTTAAAGTAACTATTGGAAAGTTGTGTTTTATGCAGATCCCTAAACCAGTGTGATCAGTGTTAATCCTCTAGATTCAGTAAGCTTGATCAAAAGGAGGTCTGCAGATTAAATGCAAATTAGTATTTGTGTAAATATCATAGAACTTCAGAACAAAATCTGAAACATACATAAGCTTGGGACATTATTTGAGTAATATTCACCAGGCTTGCTTTTCTTTATATTGTGGTGATCTTTGAGCTGAGTTTAAACCTGAAGACTCATTTAGGGTCATATAATATACTGTAGTTACGGGATCTAAAATCTCATTCATAAAGAAAATAAAATAATGAAAACCTTCTAGAGTTGAGCAAACTGAGCACTGAACAAAATGGATTCCTAGGTGCTCTTGTTTGCAACTCTAATAACTTGAGTATCTGGAACTCTCCTTCTCCCTGGCTGTTTCACTGGCTCCAGACAGGCAAGGCAGGAGACAGTTATTGTATTGTGTTAGTCTTTTTTCCAAATATCCTTTTTTTTTAAGTAGTGGAGTATAATGTCATTTTGTTGTTAATCAGTCTCAATATTTCTAAATTGTTCATCTAGAAGGAAAGTATCTTTTATATCAATGGTAATATATGGAATCCAGTAACTAATTAAATGTTTAAAAGTTGAGATCAGCATAATTCCTGCTCAGGTAGCCACTGAGGCAATATCCACAATGAAGAAAGAAAGTTACTGGCATTTCATGTTTATTTGGATTTGGTATATTATGAAAACATGGGGTGGAGGCAGGGGATAACCTCTACAAGTAAATACGTATGCACAGAAAGGGGGTGTGACCTTAACTTCTAATGTGGAAAACTCACCATTGATACTTGACCTGGGAATGTGCCTTGCTCAGGAGGCTGTTCTAAGGTCGTGTCCGTTACTGCCCAACGGGGACAGTATCTGTGGTCTCTCTGTGAGCCCTTCTCTGCTCTCACAAGCCACATCCAGTGTCTCTCCCACCTCACCCCACCCACCCGAGTTTGGGAAACAAGACTTCTCCCCAGTTTGAAGTAGGAAAGTTTAACCTTCAAATGTGAGCAGCAGATCCGAAGCCAGGAGCCAAGAACTTCTTCCGGGTCTCCCACGCAGGTGCAGGGTCCCAAAGCTGTGGGCCGTCCTCAACTGCTTTCCCAGGCCACAAGCAGGGAGCTGGATGGGAAGTAGAGCTGCTGGGATTAGAACTGGTGCCCATATAGGATCCTGGCGCGTTCAAGGCAAGGACTTTAGCTACTAGGCCACGCCGCCGGGCCCACCTTTTTTTTTTTTAAGATTTATTTTTACTGGAAAGTCAGATACACACAGAGGAGAGACAGAGCGGAAGATCTTCTGTGCTCTGATTCACTCCCCAAGTGGCCACAGCAGCTGGAGCTGCACCAGTCTGAAGCCAGGAGCTGGGAGCCTCCTCCGGGTCTCCCATGTGGGTGCAGGGTCCCAAGGCTTTGGGCTATCCTCCACTGCTTTCCCAAGCTACAAGCAGGGAGCTGGGAAGTGGGGCTGCTGGGCTTAGAACCAGTGCCCATATGGGATCCCAGTGTGTGCAAAGCAAGGACTTTAGCCACTAGGGTACCACGCCAGGCCTTTTGGGGACCACATTTTATTTATCCAGTAAAAGGCACAACTTTCCAAGTCAGTATCTTTGACTTGTTTAATTACTTTTCCTGGCCCTCTCTGAGTTACCTTATGCAGGTAAAGCAGTTTCTGCGGTGTGGTAACATCCTTTCCTCTTTAGCAGTACTTTCCCATTTGTACCTCTTCCTGTCCCCAGCTACCAGTTAAGTGAGCAAATGATCTATTACCCTTGACATGACAGGATAAAAAGATACTGTGATAAAAATCTGGCTTTTATACCTAGCCACTGACCTACCTAATCTTGCCAATATTTTCAGATGTAAGTCTGGATGGATCTGAATTAGTTATATTTAAATATCAAGATGTTTTTACCTACTTAATTTCAAATGCAGATGTACCTGCTCTACATAGATATTGTTCTCAGCCTAATTATGCATTAACGATGTGAATTACCTAAATCATACTTAAATCTACTGAGGGAACTTTGTTATTTAAAGCAATACTGTAATAAATCCCTTAGCAAAAGAATACCCTCATATTCCATCTGATGAGAATCTTTGGTATATGTGGTGTGTGTTTGCCTAAAGCATAGTGGACTTGTATGTGAACAGTATACAGGAGGGACAGGGTTTATTCAGGACAGGAGGGATCCTAGGCCACTTCCTGTGTGGAGATTTGAAAATAAATTTTCAGCACATTTAAGCCCAGCAATGCTAGCGAATGTTGGGCTTCTTCTAACATCTACGCCTTGTTTCCATGCTAGATTGAGCGGTTGGAAGTAAGCAGCCTTGCCCAGACTTCCAGTGCGGTGGCCTCCAGCACTGATGGCAGCATCCACGCAGACTCTGTGGATGGCATCCCAGACCCTCAGCGCACCAAGGCCGCCATTGCTCACCTGCAGCAGAAGATCCTGAAGCTGACGGAGCAGATCAAGATTGCCCAGACAGCCCGAGACGACAATGTGGCAGAGTACTTGAAGCTTGCCAACAGTGCGGACAAGCAGCAGGCGGCCCGCATCAAGCAGGTCTTTGAGAAGAAGAACCAGAAATCTGCCCAGACCATCCTCCAGCTGCAAAAGAAGCTTGAGCACTATCACAGGAAGCTGCGCGAGGTGGAGCAGAATGGGATCCCCCGGCAGCCGAAGGATGTCTTCAGGGACATGCACCAGGGGCTGAAGGACGTGGGAGCCAAGGTGACAGGCTTCAGTGAAGGTGTGGTTGACAGTGTCAAAGGTGGCTTTTCCAGCTTCTCCCAGGCCACCCATTCAGCAGCAGGGGCTGTGGTCTCAAAGCCCAGAGAGATTGCCTCACTAATCCGGAACAAATTTGGCAGTGCAGACAACATCCCTAACCTGAAGGACTCTTTGGAGGAAGGACAAGTGGACGATGGGAAGGCTCTGGGGGTGATTTCAAACTTTCAGTCAAGCCCAAAATATGGTAGTGAAGAAGATTGTTCTAGTGCCACTTCAGGCTCGGTGGGAGCCAACAGCACCACTGGGGGCATTGGCGTAGGAGCATCCAGCTCCAAAACAAATACCCTGGACATGCAGAGCTCAGGATTTGATGCGCTGCTGCACGAAATCCAGGAGATCCGGGAAACCCAGGCCAGACTAGAGGAATCCTTTGAGACCCTCAAGGAACATTATCAGAGGGATTACTCCTTAATAATGCAGACCCTGCAGGAGGAGCGATACAGGTAAGTCATGAGGAATTGAAATCTGAAGTTAACTTGCTCCGGGTTCCTTTCCTTTGGGGGCAGCGAAGTGACTTTAAAAGATCTTTCTCTTTCTCTTCAATGCCCAGAGCGTGTTAGATGCATTAGGACATCCACATAGGTTCTTGTTTCACTGACATCAGAGCGGAGGCTCTGCTGCCACACAGGTGATTCCCGGTCTAGGAGGCCTGCCAGTCAGCTTGGAGCAGTCGTCTCCCGTGCTCATTCTAGTTCAGGAGTTTATTATGCATTAATAATCACAAAACCACAGAACCATTGCAGCCCAATCAGAAGATCTAGAATTCCTGGAATTCTGTGGAAATAAAAGGTATAGCCCAGCCAGAATGTAATGAACCATGTAGATATCTGGCCTTAAACATGCTTATCTCTGGACAAGTGGTACAGGAAGATTAGACTGGAGAGAAGTGTAGATAAGTATGTCTGTAACCTTTGTCATGAGTTGGCAAATGTCTGGTAACTGTGAAATGGCTCTCTGGTAGTTAGAAAATTCTCCAATGGCTAAATGGTTTGAGTAGAAATCTGTGTGAAAGGAGGTCTGGTCTCTTCTCTATGCCTGACTACACTCATTTTCATGGTAGACCACCTTGACCTGCGCTGCAGATGTAGCCTTTCCTTTGCTTCCTTCCCGTGCAGAGAAAAATAACATCCTCTAGGGAGAACTAACTAACGTAGTACGCAAACCCTGTTAGCCAGAGACAGACTCAGACTGATTGTAAGGAAGAGGAATCAAGGGCTGAACAGATAGATACCTTTAAGGGCCCTTGGGCCTCTCTGGAATGGTGTTTTTTTAAAGTTCACTTTATGAGGCAAGGCATTCGCGTGTATCCAGCAGTGCTGATGGAGAGTTCCAGGTGCCTCTCAGCTGGGAGCAGTGCCCATCAGTTATTCAGTCCTGCCTCCTCTTTACTCTTTCAATTCTAATTTAAGACTTTGAGAGAAAGGAAAAGGTCCAAAAGCCTATATGTTACTGGTTTTTTTTTAAACATTTATGTTTATTTACTTGGAAGGCAGAGTCAGACTGATAGTTCTATTCTGCTGGGTCACTCCCTAAATGTTCTAAATAGCCAGGGCCGAGCTGGGCCAGAGCCATCTGAATGGCAAGGACAGGATTGCTTGTGCCATCATGTGCTGCTTCCCAGTGTGGGGTCAGGAGCAGAGCCAGGACTCAGACCCTCACTATGGGATAGGAGCGTCCCAGCAGGCATCTTCACCTTCGGGCCACATGTCTGTCCCCATTATAATTTTTATTTCTATTTTTTTAAAACCATTTTAATTTTTGATAATGTTTGGATACTTGGGAGGAATGCATGCCCATGTGAACCATCTGTCTGGGTGGGGAGGGTTGAGGAACGGGGAAAAGTAGATGAGACAACTATTACCAATCTCCTTTTTGCTTCCTGTATCTGGGGAAAGTAGGGAGAGAGCCGCTCCCAGCAGCCCAACCACATCAGTACCCAGGAATGGAGGATGGCCACCAATGTCACCCCAGGGGCCCCAATGTGGAGCATGTTCCAGGGATAGTGCTTAAGTGGTTTTAATAGTTCTGAGAAGTTGTTGGTTTTGTTGGTTCAGTCTGTCCTGCATCCTATTCAGCTCTTGTACACATCAGTGGACGGTGAACCCTAGCACACCCCAAACTGATCCCACTCTCCAGCCCACACGTGCCAACATCTGTTCAGCCAGGCCCAGCCACAGCCTTAGCCCTGGTTCTCATGCTCACCAATGGGAGCTGCAGCCAGTCAGATGGGTGCCCACAATTTCCCTACTAGACCCAATCCCAGCCCCAGACATTGCACTTTCCAGGTGGTTCTATGGTCCAGACTGACAGGACTTGACCCAGTCCCAGCATCTGCTAGCCATTACTGTGGCAAAGCTCAACCAGCCTGCACTTACTCTGGCTCATGCATACACCAGTGGATATGGTCACTTAGCCTAGCCTGGCTCTCTCCCTAACCCAGCTCACATGCAGGCCAGTGGACTTTGTAGTCCCTCCCAGCCTGGTCTGCCCTTGTCCCAGCTCTCACTCAGCAGGGGTGTCCTCGCAGCTCCCCTACTGGACTTGCCCCCAGTCCCATCTTATGTGTGCATGTGGGAGCTATGGCCCAGACTGACATTGTTCGCTTCACCTCAGCATTCACCAGCAGGTGCTGCAGCTTGGCTCAGCATAGCCTGCCCTGAGTTCCAGCTGATGTTGATGGGTACTGAAGCCTAGCCCAGCCAAGCCAGCCCCTAGTCCAACCCAACATAACCTGTCTTGGGCTTTGCCGTCAGATGCTGCAGCCTGGCCTGCCCTGCCCAATTCTTTGTTCTCATTATACATCCAACTCTGAGGTTCAAATTCCAAGTCTATCACTTAACTAACTTTGTTTTTTTTTTTTAAAGATTTATTTTTATTATTTTTTTTTTTATTGGAAAGGCGGATATACAGAGAGGAGAGACAGAGAGGAAGATCTTCCGTCCGATGATTCACTCCCCAAGTGAGCGCAACGGCCGATGCTATGCCGATCCGAAGCCAGGAGCCTCTTCCGGGTCTCCCACGCAGGTGCAGGGTCCCAAAGCTTTGGGCCGTCCTCGAATACCCTCCCGGACCACAGGCAGGGAGCTGGAAAGGAAGCGGGGCTGCCGGGATTAGAACCGGCGCCCATATGGGATCCCGGGCGTGCTAGGCGAGGACCTTAACCTCTTGCGCCACCGCGCAGGGCCCCACTTAACTAACTTTGAAAACAAGGCATTTCTTGAGCTTCGCTAAGTTATTTCCTCATCTCTAACATAGGATTAGTAGTCCTTCCTTAAACAATTACAACATACAAATGAAGTAGTTTGTGAAAGAAGTGCTTAGCTCACTGCCTGGCCATAGCTGCTCTTAGCCCTTTTAGTCAGTGCAATGGCCACCCTCCCAGCACACCCCCTTTGTCTGAGCATGAGGACCTAGGCCTTCCACAGTCAGCTGCTAACAAAGCAAAGCGAAACACACAACCAACTGCTTTGGCATCTTTATTTTGAATGGGAAGCACAACATTCCAGATCTTAAATTCCTCTGAGCTTGTAACATCTTCACAGAGGAACAAGTTTTGCCAGGCCCACCGTGTGTGTTAGAGACAGACCAGAATTCAGCTTCCTATTGCTGCCTCTTTAGAAGAATGAAGTGCGAGCTGCTTAGGAGGCAATGCACTATACGTTTCTTTGCACTGTACTTGGTGCAATACCTAGTCATACGGACCAGAAAGGAAGGTGAATTAAAAAAAAAAAAATGCATGGGGAGTGGAGATGAGACCTATGATCTGGCTGACTTTGCCATCCTATTTTAAGTTTTTCCTTAAGCAACAAGCTTGAAGAAAGTCTTCCTTGGGAAAGGTAGCTGACAGTCATTTTTTTTTTTTCCACAGCCCTTTTGTTGCATTTTATATAAAATTTTATGAGCAGCTATAGGGTCTATCATGATGGCTCAATGGCTAATTCCTCACCTTGCAAGCACCAGGATCCCATATGGGCACTGATTTGTGTCCCAGATGCTCCACTTCTCACCCAGCTCCCTGCCTGTGGCCTAGGAAAGCAGCAGAGGACGGCCCAAGGCCTTGGGACCCTGACCCACTTGGGAGACCCGGAAAAGGCTCCTGGCTTCAGCTCCGCTTTGGCCGCTGTGGCCATTTGGGGAATGAACCACAGGATAGAATATGTGTCTCTCAGCCTTTCCTTCTCTTGGTAAATCTGATCTGCCTTTCCAATAAAAAAATAAATCTTAAAAAAAAAAAAAAACAGATTCTCATGTTAGGACATACATTTATCTGACTTTGGTCATTGAACAATTTCGAATAGGTGAATTTTCCCCCATAAATTGAAGCCAATTTTAAACACTTTTGGAGAATTTCTGTAACCTCCTTTAAAAAAAAAAATACACTGAACCTGACTGGAAATAGTTTAGAATGGTGCTGGGCAGGTTAGGCTAGATTACATGTCTCTGCAGTAAATGTCAGCCTTTCTTTGCTTGTTTTCGGCGTTATAGTTTTATTTTTTTCTCCTTTCCATATCTCCTCCACTGTTGGTGAGCCCGATTCTTCTGTGGTGGAAATAGGCTAAGGATGAATTTGATGGAATCTTTAGTGACCCAGTTGGTACATAAATGGCCACTCTAGAAGCATTTTTTTCTCTGCTTTAATTTATTAATGTATTTTTAAAACTGCTTTAAAAACTATTTATTTGAAAACCAGAGCAACAGGGAGAGAGGAAGACATAGATCTTCCATTTGCTGATTTACTCCCCGGATGGCTGTCACAGCCAGGTCTAGGCCAAGCTGATGCCAAGAGTCTGGAACTCCATGTGGATCTCCCCCGTGGGTGCCAGCAACCCAAGGGCTCTAAACATCTTCCCCTGCTTTCCCAGGCACATTCACAAGAAGCTGCATCGGGAACAGAGTAGCCTGGAACTGGTGCTCCGGCATGGGATGCCGGCTTTGACAGTGGCAGCTTGACCTGTTGTACAACGCTGGCCCTTCTTTTACTAATGTCTGAGTGACAAGAGTGATGTTGCTGCTGGTTACTTGCACTGATGTGTATTACTAACCTGCAGCTGAGCTGTATTGTCCTCATTTTACAGATGAGGAAATGGAGGTCCACTGGGACTTCCCAGTTTGCCAAAGGTCACTCAGTAAGTGTCCAGTTGGGGTTCAGATGGCCTTGTATCTGAATTCATACCACAGGAGGCTTTTTCCAGCTGAATCCTGGGCTGGCCATGGGTGCTGGGCTTTTCCCAGGCCAGAGTTTGTGTTCACTAAAAGTTGAGTCACTGTTTAAGATACTTGTTTAAATACTGTGAATTTATATTTTATTTTGTACCATGAATTCCCAAGCTAGTACAACAATGTGATGGGTGGGACCCCAGTCCTTATTCCCCTTTCAGGCCACTCCCTCTGTGATGTCACTTGCTGAAAGTGCTTCCATTGCTCCTGACCATAGTAAGTCGAG